ATTTTGCAATAAATATTACCCCCGGGCAATATAAGGATATTGATGGTCACTAGCCTAATTTTGGGGAAAATGATTGTGTTCTAGTTGCCATTTTGGCTGCATTATAAAACGTTAACACTCCCTATGGCAGAGATATTATGTAATTTTTCGAATTGTAGGCTGGTGACATAGGCTAAAAAAATTATATATTGTGAATGATGGGGTACTTTTTGTTGTCCTCAATTATTTCAAAAACCTGGATTTTGAAAAGTATCAAAAAATTAAACTGTAACACACAAAAGAATTATAAGACCCCGTTTGGACGAAGTCCGAACAGGGACTAATAAAATCCAGCAAATATACTTTTTTTCGTATATCTTACATTAAACTCAATAAAAAAATCAGTGAAAATGAATTCCATACAAAAGACCCAAAGTCTTTTCAGTGAATATTAATTCCAGCAAAATAAAGTACCGGGTACATTAGACTTATAATAATTTTGTGAATTTTTCTGTGTTTTACTGGATCTTACATTGGCATGTGCTCTAAATAAAGCATTGTACTGAATCATCTAAGTGGAACAATTTATTTGGAAAGCTGCACTTATTTGAAAATGATAATGTATATGTATGTCATAGAATCAGGTTTTTACAGGACATAGCAAATCAAGAAAGACGTGTGTGAAAAGAAAAATGCACTTAACGAGTAATATGTGAAGTAGCCTGACAGTAATCGCCATGGTTACTATATAACAGTTTAAATACATAGCAACATACTCTGTACTGGAGTATATACATGTACCATGTTCAGACTGTCACTATAGTAATCTTGATAATATATTCAGTACATCACCATGGTAACCTTGATAATATATTCAGAATATCACCATAGTTACATTGATATTCTAAGATCACTATGCAAGACCAATATATAAAGAATATGCTGATGTTTTTTCTCTGTTTCTCATTTACAATATTCCACTCATAGTTGTCATAGTTGTGGTGGTAAATGTAGCTTACGGGCCGGCCATCAACAGGTGGTTGTCTCTGGTTCTAGTTATTCCTTTTCACCACCAGGCTTCTTTCACCCAAATTATTCAACACTTTTTTCTTATATTCTTCAGTATTTCTGGAAATGAAGCCTATTTTTGGAGCTAACAGACGAAATTTGATACAATTTTAAGTTTTTACTCAAAAAAATTAACTATTTTTGTCCCAATTTTATGAAGGAAAGTGCAGACTATAAACAGGACTATTTTGTGATGAAAAGAGGGAACTGGTGCTGAAAAGGTTATGTGCCAGCCATCAACAGGTGGCTGTCTCTGGTTTTGCTATTGATGACCATATTTATCTTGTATTCTTTACAGCTGAAGCACGAAAGAGTGGTCGTAAAGTTGGTGGAATTGACTTACAGTCCAATACAACAGAATCACATTCAGAAGGTGAGTAGTATAACTTTATTCACATTCTTGCAATTCAAACCACATTATGACCAATGGTGTAACAGCAGCTCTACTTTCTAACCAATGGCGTAACAGCAGCTCTACTTTCTAACCAATGGCGTAACAGCAGCTCTACTTTCTAACCAATGGCGTAACAACATCTCTACTTTCTAACCAATGGCATAACAACAATGGCGTAACAAAGGCAAACTTTCAGATTTGAATTTCGACAAAGCTACTTAAAATTAGAAGGGCTTTCAACTGAATTTTTCTGAAAAGTTTGAAGAGGTACCAGCAATAATAATTAAATGAGAAAGTGTTTTTTTTTAATTACAGTAGCAGCGCAGGTATCCAATCGAGAACAGCCCAGTTTCCTACAGGTAATCAATTTCACATTGTCATCACGATTGGCAGAGGAAAGAGGATGGATTATACATCCAGATGAGAAGGATGATTTAGAGAGACAAACTATTATTGAGTGGGCAAGTCAAAGATTACAGCTTTGTATAAAACAGACGTAAGTAACAATCAAACAACCACACCATATTGTGTAAGACCAGCAGCCTCTCATCTATTCAGAATATTGACTGATTGACATTCTGTCCGAAAAGTGTTTATGCATAACAATATATTGCGACCTTGGCATTGTAGGACATATCTACTGTAGTCATTACAAATATATGACAATACAACCATTTCAAGAAATCAATAAATTTTATGTTTGTCATTCACTGCTCTTTTCTAACAATGTCTTTTAACAATCACAGTAAAAAGACATTGTTCCAATAAAAGCTTTGTTAAGATAAACACATTGTTACCATTCATGAGTGAGTAATTTGTCATCGGTCTATTCAAGCTGTTATTGTATTAAACAAAAAAAGAAAGAGGAACTTTTTGAATTTCAGTCTTAAATAAAAAGAAAGAAATAATGATAGCAGTCCCAAGTAATATATCAGGTATTGTAAGACAATAAAACTGCTCCCTCCTCCCCAGTTACTGGGTTCAAAATGGATTAATGACCTCTAGCTGACTTT